TAAAAACTTTTCTTTTTGAGACCTTGTCTCAAAAAATGAAAAATAACAATGAAACACCACCCGGGCTGAAATTGATCCTGCCTTCCAAGAACGAGTCATTTTCAACTAAATTAGAATCAACTGATGGGGAGAGGATGCTAAAAGGCAGATTAGAAGCACTCGACAGACAGTGGCTGATACAGGAGGAAGCAGAAGGAAACAGGTGAGAAGGGAAGGCCTGGAGGAGTTAGCAGAACTGCCATTGCTTTCCCTGTCGGCCAGGCCGTTGTTCTGTTTCCATCCTGGGTCTCAGTTTCCCCATTTAAGAATGAAGCGATTAGGTGGAGCGGAAGTTCTGACTGAGGCTGTGTCTGAAACCTAAAACGATGCAGGCATTCTGCCCGGCCAGAAGCAGGTCTAGTTTGGGACCCGGTCTCCTGTACTTTTGGAGATTGTTTATACACAGACCCACAGGAGGTTCCCCTCTGCCCTCTGGCGCAGAGCATTCGGGCTTGGGACTCAGAGGTGCCCCCCACACCCTCCGCCTGGGTTCCATGTGCCCTGCCGGCTGCCACATGGCCACTTGCCCATCTCCAAGGCCACTCCTGTTTGTGCTCCTGACCAGCTTCTGCAGCCTCACCGTGCTTGGAAACTGAGTCACTCTGGTGCAAATGAGTCAAGCTGAAATTTCTGGGCAGCTCAGAAGAGCTGGTGAGCGGAAGAAATCTCATTTCTGTAATTGCTGTCTTGGAGCAAACTGATAACCCACAGCTCTAATGCATTCAGGGGACAGGGCCGCACCCTTTGCCCCACCGAGGGCTCCGGGCAAGGAGGTTTCCCGGCATCAGAGCAGCGGGTCTCCTCCTGAGGGCCCAGCCTCCCCACTTCCTCCTCCGTGGCCAACTCCCTCTCCTTCCCTCCTCCCTCTGCCTCTTCTCCAGGCCTGGCCCTCCTCTCCACCCCGAACTCTGGGGAGGAGAGGCTATCTTTAGCAGGGAGGCCACAGAGTGGCTGATTTCTCTGAGCCTCCATTTCTTCGTCTGTCCAATGGGGCCACACACTGCCCATGGTGTCGGGAAGAGGGGGTGAGACAACAGGAGGTGCTCAGCTCGGGACAGAGGCAAAGAACCCACAGGCTGTTATTATCACTCTGGAACACCCTTCAAGACCCAGCTCCCCTGTGCAGGGACTCTCTGGCCTCTGTCCTTGGTCATTCCACTGTCTGCCACCCCATCTGTCCTCAGACAGGAAGGCTGGATGAACACTAGTAGTGCACTGCAGAGGGACTTTTTCCATTCTGGGGCACCACAATGAAGTGCTCTGGCCACTGCAGAGAGCCTGCAGCATTTCCCCCAGAAATAGTGGAACCTCTCCATTCAGCCAGGGGTCGGGGCAAACTGACAGCCAAGGGCAGCATCATAGACACTGCTTGGGATGCCCTGGCCACAACCCACCAGTATGTGGAGGGTTCTCAGAGAGAGACTGGTATTCCTCAGGCAGCATATTAGCAAAGGAAGCTCCTCTTCTCCAGCCCCTCCCTTCTTCAGAAGGCTCTAGGCTTTGCAGGTTCTTCTTGGGTTTTAAATGAGGTTCCCATCTAGCAGTGCTGTGTCTGGCCCAGGCTAGCAACACCCTGGCACATCCAGCAGGTCCTACTTCCGACCCAGGTACCTCGTGCATCCTGGTACAGTGTTCCCAACAGCCTTGGGACTACACAACCACAGTGTGTCAGAGGCGAGTCCATGCGAAATGGGATGTTTGCCTCAAACTTCCCCGTCCTAGCTTGAGAAAGCATGCCAGACTGGTGGCTGGCAGAGAAACCTAGTGCTTGGTGGGTCTCATGCATAACCACATCAGGAGGTGGGGTGGGGATGGGACTTGTTTTCAAACACGCCCATGCGGGAGGGAGTTTGACATTGAGTAGCAAACACAGATCACCCTAGGTGTGATGCTCCCTGCAGTGGCCAGTGCCACTGCTTTGTTGCTTCTGTGGCCCAAAGGCTGGATGAAATGGCTTCAGGGGTGAGCCTGCCAGGGGGCCAGCTGTGGCAATCAGTGCTGTACTCACAGCTGATGCTATGATTTACTCTTATTCCTGGGACCTACTGCTTGAATTCTGCCAGCAGAGGTGCTCAAAGGCTATGCAAAGCAGCTGGGGCTCCACCTAGGTGTGGTTCTCCCTGACAGCCTGGCCCAGCACAGCTGCCAGACCTCAAGATAAGTGTGTTTTGAAGCAGTGGGAACAGTGGCTAAAAGGCAATGATTTTCTCATGGCCATGGTGGCTGGTGGGGGAGGCCTTGGACTGCATGGTTGCCTTTACTGGGGGCTCTCAGATGTCTGGTCCTGCTCCTTCCCTGCTTTGCCCCCCCCCCATGTCTGGACTCATCATCTTCATCCTCCTCTTAGGGTGATCACAACACCCTCTCTGGTCTCACCCCTCCCAGCAGCTCTCCGTAGGAAGAGATGTTTCTAGAATCTTTCCACTCTGGGCCCCCTGAAGCAGAATCCAGAAGTACTTCCCATCTGGGTCCGGCATGGGGGCAGTGACCAATAGCGTTGGAGGATGTGGGCTGAGAAGGTCACAGTGGTCAGAGGGTGGCGCCAGCATCCACAACAACCCCATCCAGGGCTCCCATCACCATGGCAATGGTGGTAAAGTGGCTGCATATGGCTGCTGGTGGTCTGTGAGAGCCCAGGAAGGTATACTGGGGGCCAGGGTAGGTATAGACTCAGAAGACATAGGACATGTGGGCGGACCTTGGCTTTCTGCCTGGATGTGGCCACCTCTGAAGTCAGGAACTTGAACTGTTGCAGCTCCTGGCTCTCAGCCCAAGGAAGAGGAGGAAGACCATTGATGGAGGAGACTCAGAGGAAGGGTCCCAGAGTCCTAAGGTGCCTCCCTTGGAGGATGTGCTGCCTGCAGATCCTCGTGTGGTTGATAATCTGCTTCCTCCGGCCAGCCCTCCTGTTTACATCCTTGCTGCCAAAAGCATCCTCAATGGCTGCAAATGACACAGTGGATGCAGAAGAGCGTGTGTCACAGCCACACGTCCCAGTAGCATGGTCAGCTCTGACACCTCCCTGGGCTGCATGGCCACCTGTCAACTGGGGTGAACATTTCTCGAGGTGGAAGCAGGGAAAGGAGGATGAAACCCCTTTAACAGAGGCTGCTGCTAGGGGACAACCATGGCAATTGAGAGTGTAGCCTCTGGGGCAGACAGACCTGGCACCATATTGGCCTCTGCTCATAGCTGTGAGACCCTGGGTGAGTTGTGTAAACTCATCCCTAGGTGCTTGTCTGTAAAAGAGGAGCATGAAGGGCCGAGGATTTAGCTCAGTGGTTCTGCTGCCTGCCTCGAAAGGTCCCGAGTTCGATCCCCAGTACCAAAAAAAAAAAAAAAAGGAAAGAAAAGAGGAGCGTGGACAGAGGCGGACTGAGCTAGATGGTCCCCATGAGGAGCCCAGTGATGCCCAAACCAAAGTGATGGCTCTGGGTGCCCAGACCTGGGAGCTGCAAAGGTAGGGAGTGAGGAAGGGGGAAAAGACTCCTCTCTGGCCAAGAACTTCAAGAGTTCCTCCCATTATTTCCTTCCTCAATCACTCCAGCCTAAAACCAGCATGGCCATTGCTCCAGGGCTGCCCTGCTGGACCTGTGTGGTTGGGAAAGGAAGGCCTTGTGTATGGGCATCCTGAGGCCGACCTGGCCCAGGGCAGGAAGATCTGGGCAGGCCTGAGATGTAGAAGTCAGAGTGGGCTGAGGGCCTCTGGGGAGAGGAAAGGCAGACTCTGCCTGATGCTTGTGGGAGATAATGGGAAGAACACCTGGAGGGGCGGAAGGGAGCCCAGCTGGGAAGGAGGCTGTAAAGAGAGGAATCTGCCTGCAGAACCAGAGGGCTCAGCCCATCTCACACGTAGAGAAACTGAGCTCAGGTAGCACCTTGGGAAGGAGAGGTGCCACTCAGCATGTGGCTGTCAGGGTCCCAGGTGACTTTACAGTAGCATCTGCAGCTGGAAGTAGCAGAGAACTGTGCTGGCTGCTGTGATGCTAAAGGTGTTTATTAGCCCAAGCCCAAGGATCCTGAGGGGAGGGGCTCCCAGGATGGTCCTGTTGCTCTGCAACTTGTTCACTCCAGGCGGCTGTTCTTGGGGCTGGGTGTGTCCCTTCTCTAAACCCCAGCATGGGTAACTGGCATGTGGGACCTTAACTATTTCTGCAGCGGCTGTCATCTGTCTCTTTAGCCCAAGTGACTGTAAGGCAGGCACCAGAGAGAGCAGTGACTCCTCCTTTTCACTGCCCCTCCTCCCCCTGCCCCTTGTTTTGGGACTCTCTGCTGGGTTCTCCTGCAGAGGGAGCAAGCCCTGTCTCTGCCCTACCAAACCAGAGGGTCTCCAAATGTTCCTGACACTATCTCATTTCCAAAAACCAGGGGTGCCAGCTGGAGAGGCTGAGGCTCAGTGAGCTGGAGGGTCACTTAGGGTCCCTCAGCCACTAAATGAAACCTGGGTCTCAATCTGGACCTCCCAGATCCTGTCTCTGTACCTTTATGGTCCTGTCTCTTGAACCTGAATCCAGTCATTGAGCTTAAAGGCTCCAGAGGGTCTTGCAGAGGGGCAGGACAGTGCCCAGGAAGCCCAGGCACCTTGGCTCCTGACACCACCCTGGCCCCATCACCTCGTGCTCCAGAGCGCCAGGGCACAGCTGTGTCTGCCCCAGACCATCAGCTCTTTGGAGACAAGACCTGGAACACAGGCAGCAGGGTAGGAGGAAATAGATGCTGCAGGCCTGGGGGAGCCACGAGGATCCTGCCTCTCTAGGCCTGGCCTGGAGTGGGGCTGGGCAGATAAATGGCCGCCCCCGGGATCCTGGTCCCTAGTGTTCACATGATAGGTGGGCTGTGAGCATCCTGCATTTACAGCTCTGATTATAAACCAGGCTGGAGCAGGAGCAGGGGCAGGCAGGGACGTGGCAGGTAGCAGGCGGGGCCACACAGGGGAGCTCAGCAGCTCCACTTCCTGTGGGTGCGGGCCCTGGTGCTGGCCTGGGAAGTTGCACAAGTCTTCCTCACAGTCCCCAGGCTGCCTGCCTGCCTGGCCAGTGCACAGCCTGCCTCACCCAGCTGGCCCTGCCTCCCCTAGGGCTGGCATCCCACTCCCTTCCCTGGGGCCTGGCCTGTGTCCTCATCTCAAGAGCTGAAGGAGCCGCCTCTGCTCTCCCTCCCATCCCTGGGCACAGTTCCTTCCTCATTTGCTGCTGGTTCTAACCCCAAACAAAACAGGTTGAGCCCTTTCCCTCCCTGCGGCAGTTGTGTCTGGCTTGTGGCTGAGTTCTAAGCACTGCAGACGGCGCCGGCTGGGACAGGAGGGGGCCTGGACAGTGCTCCTGGCGCCTGGCCACGGTCGGCCCTGCCTGGGCAGGAGTGCAAGCTTTGAGCAGCAGACGAAAGGATGATGCCTCAGCTGCAGTTCCGAGATGCTTTCTGGGTGAGTGAAGCCGCCAGGCTGTCTGGGCTGAAGTGTCCCAAGGTAGTGACGGGGAGGGGGTTGGTCTCATAAAATAGAGGCTGATTTTTGGTCCTGTCTTGGAGGTGGCCTAAGCCACCTTCTGAGCAGGAAACAAAGGGAGTCACTGGCTCGGGTACTTGGGTGCGGTATCTGCTCTATGCTCATGTGCTCCCCTCTCCTGCAGCGGGAGTTTCCAGGAGAACTCAACATGGGTAGGGCTTAAGAAGACCATGTTGGCAGGAAATGAAGGACAGGTCAGAGGTCTGGGGACAGACACACGGGTTCAGGTCTTGGCCTTGTGACTTAGAGGCTGGGAAAGTCATTTGATGTCTCTGTTCCTCAGTTTCTCTGTCTGTATAGAGATAAGGACAAATAAACACCCAGTTTCAGGTGCTGTAAGTGAAGACCCCGGCACCTTGCTGCACATCAAATGGTAGCTCTCTTCCCTTGCCCAACTCCTCTCATTCCCTGCAGACCTGAGGAGTCCTCAAAGGAAGCGGCCAGAGTGGGCAAAGCCTTGCTTGCTTTCTTAAATTCAGCACAGGTATAACCATGAAAGGTGCCCATGAAATAGGGCATCTGGCTGGGGTGGAGGTAAAGTGGCTTGTTGGGCCATACAGCCTGCAAGTGGCCATACAGCTGATCACTACCTCACACCATTTTCCACTTGTCCTTGGCCTATCCTCTGCTCCTGGGGACCAGCGGAGACCTCTCTGGAGAGGGAATGTGGTAATGCTGCTAGTTCAGCCTCCAATCTCTGAAGAAGTCTCCCTAGCCCTCTGCTCAGCTGGCTCAGCCCTGCCTGCCCCAGTGCCCTGTCCTGGGTGCAGCCAGGAAGATGGGGCAAAAGAGCCAGGCCTCCTTATCTTCTGAGCTAGCCTTCTGTGAGTGGCTTGCTTCCTCTGTACCACTGCTCAGAGGGCAGAACCCTCTCTTGGGCCTCAGTTTCCCTATCTTTACCCAGAGAGCTAAGACCCAGCCCAGCGAAGCTGACTGGGGCAGAGCCGGCTCCTCCCAGGCATACACCAGGCTCTGGCCCCAGTGGGTATGATGTGTAGGGTCGGGTGTGGCAGCTTCCTGAGTGGCATCCCAGCCACGCCTGTACTTGTTACACTCTGGGCTGTGGCAGCCTCATGGTCCCCAGGTGCCTCCTCATCCCTAGGGCTGGCCCCTGGTCTTGGATGAGGGGACAGCTTCCCTAGGGAGGGCCAGAGCAGGTCACTGTGGGCATCACCTGCCTCAGAGCCCTGGTCCTAGTGTCCTTCTCCTGTGTCCAGATGGCCCAGTGCAGGATAAAAATGCACATTTACCAAGCTCTAAAGATGTGGCAGGCGCGATGCTCAGGGCTAATGTATGTAATCACTCATTTAATCGCCACAGCAACCCATGAATTAGATGCTATTGTTATCCCTATCATCAGATGAGGAAACCAAGGCACAGAGAATGTAAGGGAATTACCCAAGGTCACAGAGCTGGAATTATACCTAGCAGGCTGTCTCCATGCCAGTGTCACCTAGGGTATTTTGTTATCCTCTATGGACCTTGACATACCACTGAGTCTTGAGCCTTGGGATCCACACTGGGGAAATGGAGGGGAATTCTGTCCTCTGACCTCCCAGAGGAGTGAGGAGATCAGGAGAGGTCGAGAGAACAGAATTCTGAAGCTCAGTTCCCAGAAGAATCTGTCCAGCAGCAGAAACTACCCCTTTGGGGCCTCTTCCTGCTTTCCCTCACCTCAGCCAAAGCCCAACCCAGAAGCCCTGCAGCCTGCAGAACCCAGCTGGGAATGACATCCCTACCTAGTGGAAGGAAACCCTGAACCTGAGGTCACCAGCACTCATGCACATTGCTCATGAGAGAAGCCCTGTGGCTCTGGGTCAGGGTATTGAATTATTGTGTTACCCACAATCTGAGCAAGCGGAGTCCAACACATGTAGCAATTAGCTGATGTCCACCTGGGATCTGGATACAGTTGGTGACAGATATATTGGTGGACCTGAGTGGTTAGAAGCAGCCTCAAAGACTGCTAGTAATCCAGTAGTTGAGATGGAGATAGAGATATTATAAAAAGCAGATAGAGTGTCTCAGAAGGGATCAGGTGGTTCAGCTTGGGAAGGGGTGCCCCATGTCTCTTGTTGGGCCTGTCTGCAGAGCTGTCCATGTGGCTGTATGGTGGCTTCAGCAGCCTGATGCAGCTGCAGTGGGGCAGGGATGCAGGCTGCTTGGGAGGAGGCTGAGGTGTGTGGGGGCCACAGAAGGGATAATTTTATTTCTGTTAGGCACACAAGACAAAGAGCATCACTGCTCTGCAGGAAGTTTGTGGCTGAGCCTCAGAGTGGGACCTGTCAGACGTGATTAAGCTGAGATCTCAGCCTCCCTTCAAGGAGGCCTTTGATCTCCTATAGCCTGCGCCTGCACTGAGTCAAAGGGCAGGAAAGCCAGGGAAGGCCAGGTCCTGCCCTGCTCCTCCACATCAAAGTGGATCACAGTAAATGGGGAGTGGGGTGCATGCCAGGTGAATGTTTGAAGAATAAATGAATGGGGAGTGAGCATCCCCAGGGTTCACCTGGTTTCCTGGACCCATCTCATCCTCTGTTTCTGCTTTGTTGGATTCTGCAGAAGTGTTTTGAGTAAGGTTCTTGTCTAGAAGATTCACCTAGACTCCTGAGCTCCATCCCACATCCAATCAGATGCATAGAAGTCTTGTCCCTAAGCAGGTCACAATGCTATGCCATGGGCCAGGGCAGGTGTGTGCAGTGTCCCAGGTCCCTGCACTGCCTGTCTGGCCCACAGCCTTTGCAGAGGATCACTGGGTGTTGCTCTAAGAAGGGAGGTGTAGTTCTGCACCAGGTATTACACAGACCCACACTGCTCCCTTTGGGGATGTTTAAAAGGAAGGTAAGGGCCAGAGAGCCCAGCCTCTCAGGGTGGCCCCCAGGGATCAGGGGCAGCAGGCTTGAGGGCTATTCTCTTTGTCTTTGGGACACAGCTTTACCTGGAAACTCCTTGCCCATAGAGCAGCTGAGGGCTCTGCCACTGGGTGGGGGTGACTCGCCAGGGACCCAGTGGGGCAAAACTGGGCCAGGCCCACCCCTTCCCTCTGTGTCCCTGGGTGTCCCTCGGCTGTGGTGCCTCTTCCTCTTCCTAGTCTCGAGACGCTGAGGTTCCCCATTTAGAGGTGACAGAGGCACTGAGGGCCCCACTTTGGCCTGTCCTGGAGCTGCCTGTCCCCTGCTCCAGGACCTTCCCTGTGCGGCTGAGGCTGACATTTCCTGGGCACCTCTTTTGTCCTAAGCTCTTAAAACTAAATAGATACCTTCTTTTTTTTTTTTCGTACTGGGAATCAATCTCGGGACATTGCACTTGCGCACCAGGCGCTGGAACAACTGAGCGAAATCACTGGCTCCTTCTTTTTTATTTTTATTTTTTATTTTTGGTGCCAAGGATCAAGCTCAGGACCCTGTGCTTTCGAGGCAGATGCACTGCCACTGAGCTAAATCCCCAGCCCTAAATAGATACCTCTTAAAGAAACAAACCAATCAATACAAGAAACTAAAAAGGGCAGTGAGAAAATGGAGAAAAACAGAAGGGGGAAACTCTCACCCGTATTAGTTGCTTCTGGGTGATGAGACTATGTGGCTGTGCTTCTGTAAGATTATTCTACACAGGTACAAGAAGATTGTGTGCATAACTTTCTATCCTCTCCTCCTTTCTCTATTTAAATTTTTATTTTAAATTGTAGTAAAATAAACACAACCTAAAATGGATCAATGGAATAACTTATCTCTCAGGTATATTCAGTTGAAAAATTTGTCCCTGGTTATTTGTACTGAGACTTACTAGTCAAAGGTCAAAGCACTCATTAGTTGACAGGAAATTATTCTGGTAAATACAATAAAAGGGAATTAAAAGCATTTCCAAACCCATTGTGCCACATAATTCCACCAAAAGTGAGTCTCACGTATTGTTGTGAGCGCTTTCTCTGGTCTTGTACTTTGCTTTATGTTTGCTTCAATAAGACACGAAGAGGTGGCACTCATGGTGGTGCACAAGTGTAATCCTGGCTGCTTGAGAGGCTGGGGCAGGGAGGTTCATGTGTTTGAAGCCAGCTTGGGAAACATAGCAAAATAATCTCAAAACAAACAAAAAAACCCAGTAGTGACAAGGAGTAGATATTGGGATCACTCTGGTGAACCGGACCACACTGGAAACCAAGGAGAGACTGAATGTTACCCTATGCAGCACGTGAATTGAATGAACCCTTGAGCTAGGCTCAACTGTAAGTGCAAAACAGCCCCCAAAGTTTGGGCAGAATGGTGGCCAGGAAGGTCCACATCACCTTGGCTGATTGTGGATTGTACCTAGATTACCAAACACCTTTGAGAATTTGACTGATGGGGCAGGGATGAACTGTTCAACAGTCCCCATAAGATTTCACCATCTTAACCATTTGTAAGTTCCCCAGTGTTCAGTGGCGGGCAACCCTCCTGCTTCTTGGTATGAAGGCTGTGAGTGTAGGTGTGGAGTCCTCATCTTCTGCAGCACCAGGCCTCATGGCTCCACTGCTCTCCAGCCTTAGAATTTGGTGGATGTGCTGTAATGTACTCATCCAATCCCAGGGGAGATCTCTGAACATAGAGTTTTCCCTGAGGATTATTCCCATGGGAAGCTTTTTAGGACAGGAGGCATTTGGGGATGGAAGAGGAGGGCTGCTCTCTTGTGTTCGACATAAACAGCTGATTGGGCCCCTCCTGTGGGCAGTACAGGAGGTAGCAGCCAAAGTCCTGGCAGTCAGGCCTTTGTGCCACCAGCTGCTGAGGTGGCAGGAGGAAGGAAAACATCTCAGAAGCTGTCCATGAGACGCAGTGTTAGTGTAAAAGGTGCAGAGCTGAATCACAGGTCTCTCTGCAGCCTGAGGTGAAGGGGGGACAAGCATGGACCCTAGTGTGGGTTCACATCCTTGGGATCTCTGGACAGCC